TGCGCGCGTCCACCTGCCCCCAGCCGCGTGGCTACCCTTCCCCACAGGCCTACCGCGGCCAGTTCTTCCGGGACCACCGGCACGGCGTGGGCACCTACACGTGGCCCGACGGCTCCAGCTTCACCGGCATGTTCTACCTGAGCCGCCGCGACGGCTACGGCACCATGTTCATGAAGACCAGGCTCTTCAAGGTGACCGCCGGGCCCTGCTCGGCGCCTGGTCTGCGGGGTGTGGGGGCAGCTCAGCCCCAGGGCAGGTGAGGGGGCAGCTCAGCCCCAGGGCAGGTGGGCAGCAGAGTAAGCTCAGCCCCCGGGGCAGGTGGGCAGCAGGGTAAGCTCAGCCCCGGGGCAGGTGCCGGGCAGTGGCTGTTAATGGGTGTTTAAGTGTGGGAAGGTCCTTGTTCCACGGAGTAACATCAGCGGTCAGACAGAGACTGGAGAGGAATTCCTTCGGCCTGTTGCCTGGAGGATACGGGGCAGGTGTGGCATACCCTTCAGATGGGCAGTGGGCACTGGACGTGCCTGCTCTTCCCGTGGACAGCGTCGCTGTCTAGCACCGTCCCGACTCGCCCTTTCTCTGGAGAGCCTGCCTAGTCTCCTGAGTGTCGGGGCCTGCGCGCAGTGGGATGCAGCCAGCCCATCAGTTCAGTGTGTGCAAGGGTGTGCTCCTCTTCTTTTTCTTTTTAGGTTTTGTTTTTGTATTTGCTATATGGCACGTGTGCTTGCTAGAGAGAGAGGTGAGGAGGGAAAGTAAAAATGTACCCTTGGGGGCAGCCATAGTCCCTTCTCCACTCTCGGGATCTGAGGTCTGGGGTCTGGTTTTCAAGCTGGCGGGTTCAGGACTCGAACTTTCAAGTCAGCTATGCGGGATCCAGCCCTTAACCATGACGCCACCTGCCGTCAGAATGTGCTCCTCTTGTCGCTGAAGGGATGTCCACTGAGTGGGCCCCCATGGTGGGCAGTGAATCAGGCTGCAACACGGGGCCGCCCTGCGCTTGGCGGTTGTGAACAAGGCTGTAAGGACGTGTGTGTGCGCGGAGAGAGGCTGCGACCTGGGTGCACCTGGGTAGCATTTGGGAGTGGGACCACGTGGTCACTGTGTCACTGCCTGCCCTCTTTCCCGGGCTGTCCAGGATCCCCACGGAGCATGGCCGGAGAGGTCCCTGCGCTGCACCCCTTCCCCCCAGGTGGACTCGGTGGGTGTTTCCCTGGCCACCTGCCGGAGCTGAGCGTGGCCTCTCCGTCTTCTCTTCCCCTCGCTGTGCTGTGGGGGTTAGCAGTTGTTTTTTTTTTTTTTTTCTAAATAAAAACTAACTTTATTTCACTGTAAAAGGGTATTTCTATTGAATCACAGGTTTTATTTGCCCTAACATAAAATATCGAAAGCTTTTAAACATAAATTGATTATATATAAAATAGTTGCCAGCTTTCTGTTCTATGAATCATCTGTGAAAACATCATCAAGTTAATTTTTGGAAATTTAGACATCATTTAAAATGTACAGAAAAGTTTAAAAAGTGATATAAGTATTATTTAGGCATTATTTAGCTTCCCGAAATGTTATCTTTTTTTTACACTTGCTTTATCCTCTTTTTTTTTATATCACTAATATGCTATACATCATTACAGTATACAAAATGAATTTTTCATCCAAAATACATTGTCTGTTGGCTCAATCAAGTACATCAACATATGTGTTATCAACAAACAATTTTCCATTTCTTATGTCTTGTATATTTTGAGTTTTTTCTCTTTTTTTGCCATCCTTGATTCCCTATCCCTACCCCTCTGCCCTGTCCAACCCTCCTCCCATTGTCTCTGTTATCCCTGTTTGCTTTCTATGCCTATCCCCCCTATTTAATTGATTTGCTAATGAACTTAATTTGTCTAAATATTTGCAATAGCAAGCACAGCTGATATTTACATACACAAGAACTCATGTCTGACTTTAGGCATAAACCTCAGTGAGTAGAATGAACATACTATAAAATGGTACCTAGCTGGGGCTATATAGCTTACTGTGGTCATCAAATACACAGTTTTTTCTTTAAATTTTGGTAATAGTTTTAGTATTTTTTTCTCTGAATTTTTTTTTAATTTACATTCATTCCCTGAGCATCATCACAACATACTAAATGTG